GACCTCAATTATTTTGAAAACCGCGCTGGTGAAATTTGGGCTGCGGTCCACTTGACGCTACAAACGCTTCAAAGCATTCTTTGATTAGTCAATTCGTAAAATTCTTTGTTCTAATTGGTCGCTCAAACGCTTCGAAGCGTTTGTAGCGTCAAGTGGACCGCAGCCTCGGTTTGCGACATCGTTTTTAGCATCCAAAAATTTAAGGAATACGTTATTTGTTGTCAGACAAAATTTATAAAAAATACTTTGTCAAAGTAATTAGAAAAACATGTTTTATAAGTTAATGTAATTGTATGTTAATATCTTTATGCACAGCATAATAAGATGAATCAATTGATGTGAAGATGACACTTTAAAAAATATCATATCATTTGTAATATGCAACTGCGTCCTTTCTTTGAAAAGCAATTATGTGCTTTCTTTATATCAATTAATTTATCTTATCATTCTGTGCATAAATTCTAGAGTTAATAAATATTATTAGAAAATTAATCAAATATATTCTTTTTTAAATATATTATTGTTGATATTTTATACGAAATTCAATAACGATGGTATAAAAATGGCGGACAAAGACAAACATGAAACATATAGAAAATGCGCATATCCGCCGATAACCGAAGTCTTCAGATTGAACGTGAAATATGTCTGCGGTAGTAAATCCTATCGGAAATGCTGTACCATTTTACCCCTTGGCAGTCCTGAATCGTATAACTATATAGGGGTTGACGTGATCTCTCGAAGAGGGGCCGAAATGTCGGAGCATCGAGTGTATGGAAGTCTTAAAGTTGCACGATAATCTTGAAACGGATTTAATATAGAGGCAATCGCAACGCTTACTACGAAATCTATAACTGGTATCGTTTATGTTCTAGAAAAAGAAATATTGTATCAGAGACTATAAAAAATCGGAGATTGTTTCTTCCTTAGTGTAAAATTTTTGGCTTTTATTAAATACTCATTTTTACAATGTACATGCATTGTATACATTTATATTGCCATTTTCAATATATATAATTATAAATATTTATAAAACCTATGTTTATAGTACGTACGCATTTTTATGTTAATATATTATACATATACATTATATATGTATATTTACAATAATAATATTGATAATATACAGTACTATATACACTCACTCTCATAAAAAGCGGTACAACAAAAATTTAGGAAAAGTTTATCAACCTTCAAATGATCGTGACATGAAAATGTCACGATAAATAATGAAGATAAAAATATGTTTAAAAATGTAAAATGATGAGCCAAATGTCCACTTAAAAAATATTTGAATGGCAATTGTGTCTGGTCATTCTTTTTAATTGGGATGACAAAGCAAGAAAGTGCAAAATTGATAATCAAAGATTCGAGCTTGCGACGATGCATGGGGTGAATCAAGTGTTGTAGCCTAATGGGAAAAAATTCATATGAAAGTATAAAATCTTTAAAATGTTCGTTTGCTGAGTTCAATGCAATCATTTTTTGCAGAGTTACCTATTCCAAATTTAAAATATCGCTGTAATTAACTAAAATCATGGTTATAATTTTTTTCAATATGAACTGCATGAAGTTTGACTGGTTAGAATTGAATATCATTGTGTGTGTGTGTGTGTGTGTGTGCGCGTGCGCATATGCGCGCGCACACACGCACGTACGCACACACGCACGCACGCACACACAATAATGTTCAATTCCGACCAGCCAAATTCTATGCAATTCATATTGAAAAAGATTGAAACTATTATAATTCAACTAACAACAGCGATATCTTAAATTTGGAATATCTTAATGAAAAAAAATCGCATCGAGCTCAGTAAAGAATTAGTTTAAAAATAAAATCTTTTTATGTAAATTTTATTCCATTAGGTTGCAGCACCCTGATTCACGCCAGGCACCGTCGTCAGGCGATTCACGCCAGGCATGCGTATATGTGTGCATGTGCATGCGCGTGTGTGTGTGTGTGTGTGTGTGTGTGAAAAAGAGTACGTATAAAACAAATTTTACATATTAATTGTTACTTATGTTACTTATGTTATTATATCTTATAAAGTGATAAAAACATTAGTGTAAACTACAATTTCACAAGAAATTAATTATATTCTCAATTTATAACAATTAATACTTAATAATAATTTATAAATGGTGAACTATTTACATATTTGTATATATGATAATTTTATATAAAAGATTCTTAAAATTATCTATATGTTCGATATATTTAAAATGTATACATATTATATCTATACATGTATAATTATATGAAACTATATATATTAATAAGTACATCTTGCAAAAATATTATTCTGCAAGATTATTAAGAATAAATTATTAAGAATAATAACTCTTAATTACAAATTTTATATTTTTATTGTATTGAATATAGTTTGCACATTTTTATATAGCAACATCTCTCGATCATCACGTATACAGCAGGTGTAGTAGAAAACAAAAGAGCAATACATCTCAACGAGTTTGATAATGTATTGTCGCTTGCCGGTTGACGTGTATTGTCCTTACCATGGCAGTCCACTTGATCACGATCCAGCAGCACTCCAGTTTCACTCGTGTTTCAGATAAAATGTCGATTAAAATTCATACAGTCCGTCATCACCGTCACTGCTATCTTCGACATCAGTTATCGTCTCGTGAATTGCATCCTTGTATAATTTCAAGCCGAATTTTGCAATTGAATAGCAATTCGATATTTTGATGCAATTTGGCGACGAAAATTTACACACATCTGTCATTGAAGATATTTAAAACATAAGCGTTAATGTATTTTATCTAATTAAATAAGAAAAATATAGTCTAGATACATTTTTCCTATATCTTAACAATTAGGTACTTTAAATGACACTTATCTAAAACCAGGTACAAGTATGTCTTTAATAGTATAGAAAGAGATGCACATTGTAAAAGAAATATAGAAATTATTTATATATATACATATATATAAATAATTCTTCTTTTTTAGGATCGACAACTCTGAATTATTTTCTAAATGATAAAATTATAATCGACATTTAGTAATGTGAATAAAAATTTTATTCTTTATTTTAATGTACCA